AAATCAAACAATTAATTCAATTTGAAATAAGAATTCGAACTGAGATTGAAGAAAAGTTTTAGCTAACTTAAGATTGAAAGTTCAAGAGACTAAAAAAATACAACTAATAAATTTTTTTTAATGTCATTTAGATTTCTTTTTTAATATTAAATTAATCACAAGATTTGAAAATCACCTAATTTGATTGTAGATATATAATATTATTTTTTTATGTGACAAAGTCATCTATTAATTATTTTTAGTTTATTAATTTTTTTAAATTTTAAATTTTTAGAATTAAATTATTATATTTTTAATCTTTGAGGACTAATTTTATAAATATTTTATTTTCATTTTACTTGAAAGTTAATAAATTTCATTATTTTAGAGGTTAAACTCTTTAAACGTTTGAGTTTAAAGGTCAAAAACTATATACTATAAGGTGAGGGACTAAATATTTTAAACTTATTAATTTGAGGAACTAAATTAAGATGAGGAACTAAATGCATAATTTATCCGCAACTTCGCGGTGCATGCTTTTATTATTTGTGATAATTTTGGTTAATTAGTCAAAAGCGAAAATTAACTTATTGCTAAAAAACTGAGAAAAGTCGGTATTGATTTTCTTTTTCTCAAAATAACTACTCCCTCCATCTCAAAATAATAAAATTTTTTAATTTTATCTTCATATTAAAGATTTAGAAACAGTTTTTATTTTTACCAATATTATCCCAAAATAAAAATAAAAATAATGAGACTTAAATTATAATAAGATGGATAATTAAAATAAAGAGATAATGATAAGGTTAAAGTAGGAAAAAAATATTTACCTCCCTTAAAATATAAAAAAATATTATTCTGAGACAAATTTTAAATAAAAAAATCCTTTATTTTGGGACAGAGAGAGTATTATTAATTTTTGACTTTTTTTTCTAAATTACTCTTTCTGTCCTAAAAAATTTGTTTTTTTTTTTCTACTTTTTCTCCTAATTAAGAATTTAAGAATAATTGATGTATCTACATATAAAGTGAGATTTTTTGTGGTATGATAATTAATTAAAATAAATAAATAATGATAGGATTAAAGTGAAAAAAAATAGTTATTTACCTTAAAAAATAAAAAAAAATTAATTTAGGACTAACTTAAAGTCAAAAAATGACAGTTATATTACCATTGAGGAAGTAAGAATTTAGGGATAATTTATTTATTTATCTGTATTACTCTTAAAAAAAAAAGATAAAGGGAGACTTTTTGTGATAGAATAAATAATTAAAATGAATGAATTATAATAGAGTTAAAGTAGAAAAATATTTGTTTACACTAAAAGATAAAAAATTACATTTAATTTAGGATAAATTCAAATTAAAAAAAAACAGTTATTTTGATATAAAAGGAGTATATGAAAAAGAGGGGGAAGAAAAAGAAAGAATTTTTTAAGTTTTTTTTGTCATATTAATATTTTTTTTATCATATAATTATTTCTTTCATGTCATTATTTTTTTGCCATTTTGTCTTCCCATATGTATTAATATTTTGATATGCATCATGTTGCCATGAATTAACATTATACATCATGAGATTTTAACGAAAGATCCAAGTTGGGATCAAAATGATAAACAATAAAAAAATTAATTAGAGATTCTTTGAGTTAAGGAACTTAATTGCGAGTCTTTACAATAATTAAGAGACCAAAAAGAGATTTAACCTAATATTTAAGAGGGTTATAGTTAGTTTTTCAAAAATTTAGTTA